CTGCAGCACTCTCATCCCTATCGGGTTGGGCGTCTTCATTCGCTACAAATACAACCGGGTGGCTGACTATGTCGTGAAGGTAAGGCCCTTCTTCCCTTTCCATACTAGCGTGGAGAGCCCTTGATCTCTGACCCACAGCATAAATGTGAGGAAGTTTGAAGAAGGGAAAGGAAGAAAAGGATTTGGAAGTAGTTGCCTGGATAAAAATTTTTTAAAAAGTTTATGCTACAAAGTTAACTTCCAGTTTTGGGATTCCTAGAACAATAATTAAGACACAGCTTAATCAAAACCAGCATAAAAGAACTATCAGTACTCATCTGGAGGAAACAGATCATAGCAGGGTGAGGAAGATGACAGTGTAATCAAATGGCAACATATTTTCCACTAATTGTAGATAATTAAAAATCAAACAGATTAAATAACTTTAATAGAATTGGTGCGGAGTTTTAGAAATGCATGACTATCTTTTCAAAAGTGGAACTCTAATTCTGAGAAACTCTATTGTAGGTTCCTTTAATGTTTTATTAAATTTTAAAAGTAAGTTGATAATAATGGGACGAAAAGTAATGGAAAAGTTGCATTGTAGTAATAGAACACAAAATACTGGCTTTAAAGCACAAAATAAAAGTTGGGTCCTGGATAATGGAGGCTAAATTACTCTTACTAAATGTGTTTCTTTTTTCTTCCCCATTGCAATATTTTATATGGTCTCTAAAGTTACTGAAAAGATGAGGGATTTCTATAATTTATGCAGTATTTCTAATATTTCCCCTACGAGTTTGATTTTTTTTTTAAATGAATGCTTTCTGTAGCAGTAGAGATTTTCTAGTAGTTCACTGAAGAATTTTCTTTGAAAATTCAAGAAGAGCAGTGAAAAAGAATAAGCCATGACAGGATACTGACTTCAGGTAATTAGTCAAATAAAATACATAATTATTCCTGCAAAATGCACGAATTCCTTTAGACAAATGAAGAGAAAAAGAGCCACCTTAATGTTTCAATTATGTAGATTTAAGAAGACACAATCTTCTGTGTTACTCATATTATTTTCTAAAGTAATCTGATTATATAGAGGAGTCAGCTTTTATTACTATGAAAAGTAGAGAGTTGTTTTCTGTACATATATCCAGCCTTGAGTAAAAGAAATCCTGCTCCATAATAAACATGTGTATGTGAATGTAAAAATATATATGTACATGTAAATACACGTATATTTATCCATGTTATATTCAATATACTCATAGATACTCTTGAGTTGCATTAATAACTTGTTAATCATTAAGCTAATGCTATTAATATGATGGTGTTTACTATAAAACGTTAGGAAGTCTAAGAGAAAGTCAATCAAATGACCTATTTACACACCAAAAACAGAAAAGATGTAGTCAANTATTAATATGATGGTGTTTACTATAAAACGTTAGGAAGTCTAAGAGAAAGTCAATCAAATGACCTATTTACACACCAAAAACAGAAAAGATGTAGTCAATAGACAGATCAATAAGATTAGCTACCTTTGAATTTAAAGTTAACCTAGCCCTATTCTTTAATTAGAACACTGTTAAGAAACAGCTTCTTAATGCTTTCAATGTGTCATACTTTGAAACAGTAAGTTTTTACATGTAATAGCTTGGTTTCTGCCAATTGTACATCTGTAGTATCTGTACCTTATATAAGTATTGCAGCATCCTCTAGGGTAGAATCTGTGACCAGCTCAGATAAATTTTAAATGCTTTAAGAGTGTAAAGTAATGCCAGTCTCACAGATTGCAAAAGGGATGTCTCCGCTATCCAGGGAACCAGGAGCAACATTTAAGCTGTTCTCTCTGGATCAGTTTCCTTCCCCTGCCCACTCCTCATTAAAAAAATTAAAAAAAAAAAAAGTTAACTACCAATATGAAGGAGAACTAGGAGAAGAATTTTTAGGTATCTGCCTTACTATTCATATTCATACAGCCTGTTTTATTTGAATGAGTGAAATGTACTAGTCAGAACATCAAGACAACATGTTTTATACAGAAGACAGTTGTACTGTATCTAAAATTCATCTATTATAATAATGCCAAAGCATCATAAAAGACTCACAGATGAGAGGTTTCTCATGAACAAATGAAAAAAATGTTGCCAAGTTGCAAAGAAGTCTTCACATCTTTATTTACATTTTTTTCTCTTACATAATCTAACAGTAGGTAATTGTTTCAATATTGCAAACAATCCTCTGCAATATATTTTGAGGGTTAAAAACATCACACACTGAGCTTCAGACATTTTGATTAAGTTTCACAAATTTTAACTCCTGTAAAATAAGAACTAATTTTTTATGGAAAACATGGGGTTCTGTTCAGGGAAAGTAAATATCTATTTGTCTGCTCTAATGATCAGACCATACCTGGGGTATGGGCTCAGTTCTAACTGCCTGGTTTTTAAGAGGCACATTCACAAATGAAACACATGCTTAGAACAGTCAGGACACCAAAACAAAGTTACGTGATGGAGGCTTTAAGTCTGGGCACAATCTGCCTGGAGAAGAGTAGCCTTCACCTGATAACTGGTGTCTAAGCTTTTGAAGAGCTTTTTCAGAAAAGCTTTTTCTTTTTTTGAAATGGAGTCTCACTGTGTCACCCAGGCTGTAGTGCAGCGGCATGATCTTGGCTCACTGCAACCTCCACCTCCCAGGTTCAAGCAATTCTGTGCCTCAGCCTCCCGAGTAGCTGGGATTATGGGTGCTTACCACCACGCCCGGCTAATTTTTGTATTTTTAGTAGAGATGGGGTTTCACCATCTTGGCCAGGCTGATCTTGAACTCCTGACCTCATGAATTTCCCTCCTCAGCCTCCCAAAGTGCTGGGATTCCACTGCACCTGGACAGAAAGTTGTTTTTTTGTTTGTTTGTTTTTTTTGAAGAGCTGGTCTTCATTGCTCCTAACCGCCTGTATCCAAGTCAATGGCTAGAGGTTATAGAAGACAGATTGTCCCTCATCATAAGGACAGGCCTCCAAACAATCAGAGGTGCCCAACATGGCTCTGGATGCTTCCCAAGGAGGTGGCCTGCCCATCTTCAGAAATATTCTGTCAAAGGTCTGCATTTTGTGTTGGAGATCATACTAGATGGTTGTTTTCTTCCATGAGCTTAGGATTGTCTCACCTGAATTCCTCTTCAACCATCTCATTGTAATTTTCTATTACTAGGTTTCCCTGTGGTCTCTGCTAGTGACTCTGGTGGTCCTTTTCATAATGACCGGCACTATGTTAGGACCTGAACTGCTGGCAAGTATCCCGGCTGCTGTTTATGTGGTAGCAATTTTTATGCCTTTGGCAGGCTACGCTTCAGGCTACGGCTTAGCTACTCTCTTCCATCTTCCACCCAACTGCAAGCGGACTGTATGTCTGGAAACAGGTAGTCAGAATGTGCAGCTCTGTACTGCCATTCTAAAACTGGCCTTTCCACCGCAATTCATAGGAAGCATGTATATGTTTCCCTTGCTCTACGCCCTTTTCCAGTCAGCAGAAGCAGGGATTTTTGTTTTAATCTATAAAATGTATGGAAGTGAAACGCTGCACAAGCGAGATCCTCTAGATGAAGATGAAGATACAGATATTTCCTATAAAAAACTAAAAGAAGAGGAAATGGCAGACACTTCCTATGGCACAGTGAAAGCAGATAACGTAATAATGATGGAAACTGCTCAGACTTCTCTCTAAATGTGGAGATACACAGCAGCTTCTATCTTGCTGAAATATTGCTTCATATTTATGGCCTGTGGTAGTGCACCTGGTTAACATAAAGAATAACAACTGGTTCACATTATCATACATGTAACAATTCTCATCTTTTCATTTTAAGGTTCATTTGTGTATTAACCAAGCATTGTCACAAATTACAAATCAATGCTGTAATATAATTTGCACCTGGGATGGCTAACGTGCAGCCTGAACTAGTTAAATGTGCTTTTTAGTTTTTTCCATCACCAATCTCTATGATGTTGCAAATACAGAAACTATTAGAAAACAGGGTATTGGAAATGTAGAATTTTGCGCACTATCTTACAAGTAAAAACTAGCTATCTTTGTAAAGCATATTGAGTTTAATGTAATTGTTGTAAAAACAAAAATGTGTGCTTGCTCTTTAAATTCCTGATAACGTTGAACTTTGACCTGTATTCAGAAAAAATTCCAAAACAGGTCACTTAAATAAGGAAATATAGTATTTGTCAAACCAGTATCAGAGAAAAGTTACATTAATATATTTGATTACTCGATCTGATATCTATTTTTTAGTGATGAACAATCAACATTTTTCTAGTGGACAAGCCATGTTTTTTTTTTTTTTGGATTGGTCTTCTGCATTTATGTAAACACATCCCAAATCAATTTATGTTTTGGAGAAATGATTTGGTTGGGAAATTTTCCAGAACCACTCTGGAGCTAAGCAAAACGGTACCTTCTGGCCACCACTGGGGCTGGGGGAAGGGACGCGCTCCAGGGGAGAAAACAATTAGCCTAGATGAAGATGCCGGGGTGGTTCTCCGTGCACTCGCCGAGGGGGCTCAGTGGGTAGCCTCTCAGAGCAGCTCTGAGATAAACTGTCATCCGAGTTAATGGGTGACAGACCCAGAACAGTTCCTAAACCTTGGCACTTTCGCTCACTAGCCAGAGGCACCCGGCCTGGCCTCTGCGTCCCCGGGCGCAGGCACCTGTAACAATCAGGGCCCGGGAGTAGCCGGCTCAGCTGAAGCCAGTGATGAGTTTCTCTCGTTGAAAACCTCCTCACCTCGGGCGCCTTGGTTCCCTTACAAATCAGCCCTTTCATCGCAAAGAAAGCCCTCTTTGCAGATCATCTAAGGGTCACTGTGCTAACATCCGGGTGTGGAGAGAGAGATTCCATAGGGAGAAGGACGGAGAGGGGCCCCCTCGGCGGGGACTCGGGGACACGAGCCGGTGGCTGGAAGGGCGCGGAGGGCGGTGCAGCGCGCGAGTCCCAGCCGAGGGCCGTGTCCGCCTCCGCCGGGCCGTCGGAGGGAGTCGCCTATTTAGGGTGCAGCGGCGGGTGGGAGCGGTGCGCCCATGGCGGCCCTGGGGGACGAGGTGCTGGATGGTTACGTGTTCCCAGCGTGCGCCCCCTGCTCGTACCCGTACCCCAACCCGGCGGCCACCAAGGGCAGGAGCGCGGCGGGCGGCAGCTGGCAGCACCGCGGCGGGGGCTGCCTTCCCGCCTCCTCGTCCTCCTCCCCATTCTCGGCGGGCGCGGCCTCATCTTCCCTCCCGGGCTGCAGGCAGCTGACGGCCGCCGAGTACTTCGACAGCTACCAGCGGGCGCAGCTCATGGCCCTCCTGGCGCAGGTGGGGCCTGGCCTCGGGCGGCGCGCCCGCGCCCGCAGGGTCTGCAGCTGCGACGTGGCAGTGCAGGTGAGCCCGCGCGTCGACGCTGCGGTGCAGTGCTCGCTGGGGAGGCGCACGCTGCAGCGCCGGGCCCGCGACCCCCAGTCCCCGGCTGGCCCCGGCGCCGGCGCCGAGGGCACAACCGGCGGCGGCTCTCCCTCCCAGCTGCCGGCCCGCCGGGGCCCAGAGCAGGGCAGCCCCCTGAGCGGCGCCCCGCGGCCCGTGCGCTTTCCCCGCACCGTCGCGGTGTACTCGTCCGTGGCCTCGCGCCGCGTCACCGCCTTCCTGAGGGGACCCGGGCCCAGGGCCGCGGCGGGGGAGCAGAGATCGCCGCCCGTGCGACTTCAAGGCCCAGAGGAGGGAGAGGCGTCGGCGAGCAAGGTGCCCCGACGGCCGCAGTCCGAGGACGACGAGGACGACTGCGAGGTCCAGGCCGCGGTCCGGACGAGCGGGGAGCTGCCGGCCGACGGCGCCGGGCTGCCGCCGCCGGAGGCCCAGGAGGGCTCGGCGGCTCGGGGGTCGGCGCTAAAGAGCCCAGGGCAGTCTCCGCCAGCGGGGAGGGCCCGAGACGGCGGCGACGGGAGGGAGGCGGCCGCCGCCGGAGAGAGGCAGTCGCCACGGAGCCCGGAGCCGTGCAAGGAGCGGCTGCGCTTCCAGGTAAGGCCTGAGGCGGCCAGGGGATCCCTGGGATGCAGGTGTCTAACTGGGGCCCGGCCCTGTGACTGCTCTGGGCACTCGGAGGTGCGGCACTTCCCTAAGCGCAGGCCACTTCTGTGTTTCCGAAACAGCTAGTGACTGCGGCAGGTGTCTTCCTTCCCGACAGCACAGTCGCATGGGGGTGGCCTGACTCACACTCAGCGGCTGCTCCTCAGGCTGGCCAGGGCGACGCCCTTGGGACATTATAACCCACACGTTTGCGCTGTAAAGCTCGGGCAGTGGGCGCGCAGGCCAGTCCTGACCGAGCTGTTGGAAGACCTATGAGTAGACACAGCTGAGCTTCGGAAGGAGCGTCGATTCCCACGGACCCCTCTCTTACCTATTTCCCCACTACTTGTGGCAAAAACCCCTTCGGCTGCTGGCATCCTGGTCAGCTTTTCTGACTTCTCCCTTGCAAGCTTCCAAGCTACTGGAAAGCTGGAGCTCCTAAAATGCCTCCTCGTAGGAATTTGCTTTTAAAAAGCATCCCCCACTCAGAAACCCAATACTGCGAAAGCATTTGGGGTGCTGGTGTTGCTGCCCGAGAGCAGCAGGCTGAACCTTTAAAGGACTGGGGCACGCAGAAGGCAGTTGTGACCCAGCAGAAGAGGAAAGGCACAAGAGGTGGTAGGAAGCCCTACCTTCACAGGCTGGTATTCCTTTTGAGGGGCGGGGCTGAATCCAGAGGCCAGGGCTTTCCAGCATGGCCATGCACGAGCTGTGTGTGATCTTAGACCAGCCATAACTTTTCTGGACTCAACGCAGTTTCACAGGTGAGCAGACTGAATGAAGTGCTCCCCAGAGTTCCTTCCAAATCGAAAAGCCTAACTCTAAAAACACGTGTATAACTAGTTACTCACTGGGAGGGAAGCAGGGAAGTTTAGGTAACACGACTTTTGTCCATGTGGAGTATGAATTATGGCTTAAGTACAACTTAGGTTCCTGGCACTACTATTTGGGAATTAACTAGCAGCATAGAGAATGTGATCTTGGGTGGACCCCTTAAAGTTCCTTAGATGAGGAATCTTAATTTTTCTTTAGCTTAATACCTTTCTTGTGTGCATAATCTAAGATGAGGCTTTATCTTAGAGAAAAAGCCTCCCTAAAAAATCCCAAACTTCAGAGAGCTGCTTAACTAGTATGTTCCTACTTACTCATTTATCAGCCAGCCGTATGAACTGAGTTAATCTGGTATATGAACTTTAAGGCCCATGCTTGCTTAATTGCTTGACTAGGCTATTAGCTCACTTAATTACTGAAGAGGCATACCCAAACCTGACCCTGATTTCTTTCATGATCCAGAGTGAAGTTGCCAATTTCAAATATCAGGTGGATCATTCCTAACTTCTGAAATAAAGGATAATTCAGGTGTTATGGTTAAACTGGCATATCCTGTTGTTCAGTTCTTAGAGCAGAAATATGGCTATTACCACTGCAAGGACTGCAACATCCGATGGGAGAGTGCTTACGTGTGGTGTGTACAGGGAACTAACAAGGTAGGAAATACCAGGTAACCGGCATCTTCTTGCCGAAAGTGTTAAGGGGGTTTTGCTTTAAGTTTATTCTCTTTCTTATCACAGGTTTACTTCAAACAGTTTTGCAGAACTTGTCAGAAGTCTTATAACCCTTACCGAGTGGAGGATATCGCCTGTAAAGTAAATCGGATGTTTTGCAATTTTGTCTGACCTGGGCAGTCGTAGATGGTTTTTAGTATAGTTTCTTGAGTATGCTTCCTAAAAAGAGGCCAGGTCCCCAGACCTTTAGGTTTCGACTGGCTTTTGTTAGGAGTGGTTGAAACAATACTCCACTGGGAAAGGAGGCCTTGGTGTTAGGTTCTTTCTGTCCTTGCAAAATGCTCTGGTTAACCTCTTTTAAAACTGTTACCTCACTTGTGAAATGTAAGAATACTTGCCTTAGTTGCTAGTCTAATCTATGAGAAAATTAAGAAAAACATTAACATGAGGTAGTCACAGTTGACTTTTATCCAAATGCTTACAAAGCACAATCTCAAAGCAGTTTAAGCACAGGGGTTTAGTTTGTCTTGCCTGAAAGCTCACAGAAAGACAGTTTTAAGATAAAAATAAATTGTCTAGCTTTATGGGGAATTGACTATAATGGTAAGCAAGAAATACGTGAACTAAGCATTGCTAAGCACTTGCTTGCTCACTATTAACTGTGCTAAGGGGCTTAGCTAATCCTTAAGAGGAAAGAAGTGACTGAATTCACCTGTTATCACACGGCTAATGGATTCTGAATTGCCAGTTGAGACAACCTAATCAATGCACTTGACCCAAGTTGGATATTTAGAAGCATTAACACCCTGGGGTGGTGGAGAGAAACTTTGTACTTAGAATCACTTAAATCAGGGCTGGGCAAGTTTCTAAAGGAGGATGCCTTAACTGCTCTGCTCTTGGCTTTCATTGTCAAATTAATTCCTGACTTGCTTGTGTTCTACCCTTCCTCTTAAAAAGTTGTTGCAAAACTTCACAATTCAGAATTGGATCTGATGCAATATGGCAACAGTACAGCATGGTTAAACACTCACTATTCCTAACCCTGTCATTGCTGGGTAGGTGGGGATGTAGAGGGAAAACAAGATGACTACAAGTCCTTGCTTAGAGTGCATTCAATAAGTACTTGAATGGACTAGAAAAATTATGTTGAAATCCTAGGAAATCACTAAGGGTTTATCTTCTGTACATGCTTCTTTTTTTCCCCCCACAGAGTTGTAAACAAACTAAATGTTCCTGCCCAGTAAAACTTCGCCACGTGGATCCTAAACGGCCCCATCGTCAAGATTTGTGCGGGAGATGCAAAGGCAAACGCCTGTCCTGTGACAGCACTTTCAGCTTCAAATACATCATTTAAGTGAAAGTGTTGCTGTGCTGATGGAGCAAGTGAGCTTTTCTGTGCCTCTTCTCTTGCTTCTCAAAATGCTTCGTGAAAGGCAGTGTATTCTGAAAAAGCCTTCCAATAAAGGTATTTGCAACACAGTTTATACATTGCATAAAATCTGTCTTTGAAAATAAAGTTTCAAGAGCGGTTGTCTTGTGCTAACAGTCTGGGCCTGTCACTTCACCTTTATGAATGCTTGTTGATGGCACAGAGTGGGCCAGGCTCTGAGTTAGGCTGCAGCCACTTGAAAAACAATTTAGCGGGGCTCGTAGACAAGGCCTACTTTTTGGGCAGCTCTGGAGGGCTGAAGCTGAGAAGCAAGTTGTTAACTGAATAAAAAGCCACCTAGCTGTAATGTTAAGCATTCTTTTGGGAGGGGTGGAGGCAGAGCCATTTCTTGGTTGTACAAGACCGTTGGAGGTAACCTAGAGTGGGAAATGCTGAGTGGCAGTGATGGGTTGGGTAGGTAAGGGCTTCAGTGTCTGGGTGACTTTAGGAGGTAAGCTACTTGGTGGAGGGAGGCTGGGAAAACTAACCTGACTCGCTAGTCAGTTTCACAAATGGCAAAGTGAGGCTTGGAATAGGGTGGCTGTGGGTAGCTGGCTGCTTTAACACACTGAATAACCATCAAGCAGACCTTGTGCTTCTTCAAAGCTTTTTTTTTTTTTTAAGTAAGCCCCGTAAATGTACTTAAAGATGTCAAGTTAGAGGCGTAGGCCTTGGCCTTGGTCTTCACTGACTTCTTGCTAGTCGGGATGCCAGACTCTTTCTACCTGCATCTAGTAGATTCTCATGACTGAGGCCCCACTGCCAGAACAAACACTCCTAGTTGAGGATGGCACTGAGTTTAGAGCCTCAAGTGTATTTAGTGAAATTATACTATTTGTTTAATTACAGAAACCGTATAATTGGAACCAGGTGCTAATTATGCCTCCAGTTCTCTAACATCCCACTTAAGTGAACCCCTTACTACCCTAGGAAGGCCATAGCACTAAGTTTTAACATCTTGGACACTTGGGTATAGTGAAAGGGGTTAAAAGGGCCCAAAGTGGATTGTAGGTCTCCATGGAATCAGTATCGATATGGACGGAGATGGTGCATGTAAAATGCAGATTGCACCTGTCCTATCAAAGCACTGTCAGGTGACATTTAACAGGCACCCCAGTTGTTGCTAATGGAATTGAAGCATGAGAACCTATGCTTGGTAGAGATGTGGCATCTCATGGATCTTCCAGTAGAGTGGGCAGATGGCCACTAGTTTTTACATAAATGTAAAACCGAGGTTCTGACCTGTGATAAGATGGGCTTAAGTGCCTCTCCAATAAGGGACATGACTTAAGTCAGCAAAGCCCTGCCTGAAAGAATGACACCTCAGCTGAGTTCCAATTCAAATGAGTAGAATAAGGCAAAAATGGGGAGGAGAAATTTTCCAGATTAGGGCAACCTGTGCAAAATCCCTGTGGTAGAAAACTGGGAGGAGGCCACAGGGGGAGAATACTTCTGGAGGACATGCCAGGTGAATCTAGCAGTGCCAGACTAGAGGGATGTTTTGGGCCTTTGTCAGGAGGATGGTCTCTACTGGAGTACAGGGGCTACTCAGACATTATCAGGGCACACCACAGCCTCAAGCTACTGGGCTCAGGCGGTCCTCCTGTCTCAGCCTCTCAAGTGGCTGCGACTACAGGCACTTCCACAGGCTGCACTAAAAAGTTTTAAAGGTATGGTGGGGATAGTGGGGCATGGTGACAGATTCACTTTTAAAGTTTTTGGCTGTACAGTACCTGTAGATAAGGAGACTTGCAGGTACCAGATGAAGTGGTGGCAGGGCTAAAGAGAAATGACAAGAACTGGTGTGGGGAAAGGTGATATGTTATTTTAATAGTTCTAACACATGCCTGTTGATTTGGTTGGGGGTAGGTACAGGTGTAGGAAACCCATTTGTACTGTTGCCTGCAAGTGATAACGTGCTAAATAGCATTTCCTCAATGAATGAATGAATTACACTAATGTACCTGCACTGAATCCTAAGACAAATTTTCACTGGCTTTTAAAGTGCTTACATTGTTCTTTAGTATCGCTTGCCATTAATTTTCCTAACACAGCAGCTAAACCTATTTTTTAGTTGAGGAAAGTGAGGGTCAGACTGTTTCACTTAGGGTGGGTGAGCATGCAGATATTCAAAGTGGCACAAAAACATGCCATTCAGATTATGGTGATTACATTCAAGCAATGAAAAGGCACTGCCAAACTCTTTGTGCCTACAATCTAAGACTTGTAAGATGTGAATACATTTTAAGACAGGTTGAGGGAGGTTAGAAGGAAGTACTCCAAGAGGTCTCTGGGTATCAAAAGAAGTAACTGCAGTTTTCTTTACATTTCCTACATATTCTAAAGGAACCATGGATTACTTTGAAAAATTATGGGGAAAATGCTTTAAAACACAAATACATGGATTTTATAATGTCTCTCTCCTTTCGTTTAGGTTATGCTACTGTTTTATGTGAGCAGTCTTCACTCATAGGCCTGGATGAGTCTTTTCCAAGAAAGCGTGTCATGATTTCCTAAATTTAAGGTAGGTTATGTGTTTTAACACACTCTAAATTTTACATCACTAAAAGTAGAAAGCACATTTAAAAATACATAAGAAATCCTGTGGTTTTGTTTTAGAAGCAGCATCAAGAAACTGGCAGATTGCTGCTTTTTCTGTTGTCTTACAAACATACTATCTAAAAATGATAAATGTAGTGGGCTAAAGAAAAAGGTATGTAGCAAAAACTGGACTCCAAATGGAACTAAATCAGGTAATAAATGCTAACTTGGGATTCAGAGGATGAGGAGCAGAGAAGTGTAGGCTGGAGGAAAATGCCGTTGCAGAAGGCCATCCTAATGAACTTGTTTGCATCTTGCTTGCTGCAGGTACATTCATTTTTATTATATTATTAATAGACTTAGTTACATATAAACACAAAAAACAAATATCAACTGTTTGAAAGGTTTGGTTGGGCAGTCAACTAATTTTGTTCTTTTTTAGGGCAATTCAAGAAGAAAGTAACATCTGAAAGGGTTCTAAATGATGCACACTAGAATCATTCATTCTTTGTTAAAATACAACACAAACCAACAGCTACAATGCTTTTTATTTTTAACAGAAAGGATGTAAGGAGGGTGAGAAAAATAGGGGATAGTAAGGTAGGATGTAAAGTGTGATGTATCTCTGGACCCCATCCCTCTCTGCCTGCCCCACCCCCAAAAGTTTTAAATAATTTAAAGGACACCATTTACAGTACCAGAATACCATCAAAATAATTGTCTTTATCAGGGTCAAAAAATACAGTGATTATGAATGAGCAGTGACCAGTTATGGAATTTTACTGGAAACGTAACTGTGGTCAGCAGTCCAATGGTGTGCACAATGCCTTCAATTAATGCACTTGAGCATACGTAATTACATTTCTGGCAGGGTCCACACCAAGAAAAGGTAAAGCTAAGCATTTCATCTCTACATTCTAAACTCTGGAATCACAGAGCCCAGTTTAAAAGAAAAGTCACAGTGGATAAGAGATGTATATAAAAAATACAAGGTGTTTCTTTCAATCAGGAGTTGTGGGACTACATTTTTTTTTCCTTTTCTTACAAAATGCTATTTAAAAAAGGATAGAGACTCCAGTTCATGTTATACTACAGACTTAGACAGTGAATAAGTATATTGCATGTTTTGGTAGTCTTCAGGCTTCCTTTCATTTCCCCTAGCCCCAAGTTTCTTTAGGGTAAAATATGTGAGTCCTGAATAAACACAGAAAAGTGCATTTGCAGCTCTTTTCTAGAATTCTGCAGACTTCAAAGCCTGCAAGTCATAAATTCCATCATCAATGACCACATTTTTTTCTTTAGCTTTGTACACCTATTCTTGTATAATAACAGTGCATGGCACAAATGTACAAGAAAATACTGGTTTTAGTCTATACAGTTTCTATATGGAGCAAAATAAGTTAACTTTTCTAATGAGAATAGCTGACGGGCAGCATACATCTTTATTTTACATTTTAAAGTCTCTGCAGGCATCTACTTTGGTTAGTTATCAACAATCGTAACATAAGCACTGATCAGAGAACTGAGCAGCATTCCAATAATGTTAACAGATATATTATTTCTTTTTGAAATACTGGGAAAGCCCAGCTTTAAAATATTATTAAAATGTTCTAACATTTACATACTATGAAGAGTTAGATCTAATAAAATAACATTTCTTCAAAAATAATCTTGCAGTGCTCTTTTAGGCATGCTCTGAGACGTTATCACCAAACATCCATACCTTGAAAATATGACTATCACATAACCACACATCCCAACTCACACACACATAATTCCTTATACAGACCAAAAAACAAACCCCAAACCCTTATCCCACATATCGAAAAATCAATGGTTTTTGCAAATGAGTCTTTATGTGTATAGCTGACTGCATGTTCATGTGGAGGATGAAGCATCAATTGTAGATTAGGTTTACCACTGCTAGAAATCCAAGCAGCTTTGCAGGTCTTCAGCTAAAATGAAACAGCCTTGATTTCAGCCTCATTTCACCTGCTTTCAGATGGTTCAGTATTGGAGGCCATTATTGCAAACATTCTTGAAATTCTTTTCTTTCCCCAGAAAGTAATGTATTTGTAGGCATCACTTTTAGCCCTTTTCTTTTCACGTAGGTTAAGTAATTAAAAAATTCCTTCTTCATACAGTTATTGTGGGAGATATTGGCAGCTGTTAAAATACCAGATTTTTTTTCTTTCAGATCTCTGTTTTTGATACAGTTTGACATTAGTTACACTAAAAAGTAGATGCTGCCAGAAAGTTATCAATGAATGCAAGGGTCCATAAAAGGTGCTTGGTTAATATTCTTCATCATCTTCAGTTTAGTTTCTTTACTAAAGGCCTGAAGTGTCTCAGAATCCAGTGCTCACCATATTTCCCATAGGTTTGGCCTGTGCTAGAAGCTGGTATGATTGCACCATGCGTAGAGACTCTCTTATTTCCAGATTAAGTTCCATCAGTTTGTAGTTGGCTTCTGACATGTCCAGGTTAGAGCCTATAACTGCAAAGCTTCCTGTCTGGCCCAGCGTCTGATGATGGAAATATATATGTAACAGTGTCTGCACAGGGTCATCTTCACAACTGCCGAAGATATCACTGGGCCAGAGAGATCTGAAAATACACAATACTTTTTCAGTTCCCAGGCAATTATTAAAATTAGCTCGGTTTAAGTTAAATACCTATAACAACAACATTTTCCTGTGAGTAACAGATGATCTGTTTTAATATTTGAGCAAATATTACTCAAAGTACCACCTGAAAGTGAAAAGAAATCTAAAATTGGTATCATTTCAGTGGCAACTGTTAAAAATACTCATGTTTTCCTTCCACAGACATGATATAGAAACAGCAAATTGAAAATGAAAACCTAGTATTACTGAACTTCCAGTCTAATTAAAAAGCATCACCTTTAAATCCCGTCACATTTTACCTGAAAGCTTTGACTTGTGCTACAGCTGATATAAATTCCTTATTTTTCAAAGTTTCAATTAAAGAATGAATGGCAGTTTCTATAGTAGTTTGTGCAGCTTTGGAAATGTCAATTTCTTCGTTTTCTGAAGCAGACTCAGCTTCTTTGAGGATACTTTCCAACTGGGCAAGTTCCTCTGACATGTTGATGACCTAAAACAAATGCATCTTTGAGGATCTATTCGTATGTTTGGTAACAAAAACATTTAGTTGGCTACAAGGATATACCTGATGGTAGCAGCACTGTTTCTTTTATTTTAAAGATTATTTAAAAATATTTACCTTGGAAGAAAGGGCAATTATTATTTCAAGTTCTCCATTCTGTAGGAGCAAATAAATTCCACCAAGTAGTAGTCTTGAAATGTTCTTGATAAAGCGATAAGTTGTAATAAATAAATGTCTATATTGGTTTTAATATTACTACATTTTGGATAGTAAAAATACATTTACTGTTATGGGGGAGCATGAAAACAATTTGACAGTAAAGTCTTTAGATTTTAAAATACGATTTACCCAGGGCATTTTTATATAAATATACATATATATTTCTTTTTACAGATTTAATGACCTTAAGAAATTAAATCATTTCCCAAGTGATAGTTTTATTACCAGCAGATAACAAGGGGGGGGAAAGACTAAAGTCAGCATCTTCGAGGATATGTATTGATTTTCAACATTCAAAGTGTTTTTTAACAGGTTTATTCTGTGTACATTAATAGAACTATATGGGCCAAACCTGGTGGCTCATGCCTGAAATCACAGCACTTTGGGAGGCCAAGGTAGTGGATCACCTGAGGTCAGGAGTTCGAGACCAGCCTGGCCCACAGGTGAAACCTGTCTCTACTAAAAATACAAAAAAATTAGCTGGGCGTGGTGGTGCACGCTGGTAGTCCCAGCTACTTGGGAGGCTGAAGCAGAACTGCTTGAACCCGGGAGGTAGTGAGTTGAGATCGTGCCATTGCACTCCAGCCTGGGCAACAGAGGGAGACTCCATCTCAAAAAAGAGAACTATAGAAATAAAAAATGTTGGGGGGGTCGGGGTTGATAATATAGTTTATGTCTTTATTGAACTGATGTGCTTTATTTGACTATTTTCCGAGACAGGGTCTGGCTATGTCACCTATGCTAGAGTGAGTGTTACAATCACAGCTCACTGCAGCTTCTAATTCCTGGGCTCAAGTGATCTTCCCAGCTCAGCTTCCCAAGTCACTAGGACTATAGGTATGTGCCACCATCCCCACTTTTACTTGACTTTTTATTACAGATGATCTGTTTCTGCTATGGAAACCTTTGGTTTTGAACCTTTTACGAGTGCTGGATATATGCTGTCTTATTTACTCATAGGTCCTGACAGCATATCATTAAAAAAGAAATTATTCCTTAACTGGAAAAAAAAAAATCACTCTAAGTGACTTTTGACTTAAGCTATTCTAACAAGTAATATATGTATATTTTAAAAACTTTCTAGAATCGGTTACCGATGCCTAGTACAACTGAATATTTACCTCTGCTTCATTTTTTATTGTATTTACTTGGTTTATAAGTTTACAGTAGGCCTGGAACAGAAGCAGCAGTTGAAAATGCAATTTGTATAATCTTCGGCAGAGCTCCAGTTCCTAGAAATAAATAACATTACATTAAATTTAGGTGTTATGTTCTAGACAGCATATTTCCAATGAAAATTTATAGTTAATGTTAAAATTGTCTTGTTGTTTATTTTTCTGCAGTAAGCAAGTTAATATGGTGTGAAGCTGATGAAAGGCAGGTGAAATATGCTTTAAAGACTAAGATTAAAATAATAAAGATCACTGCTAGTTACATAATTCAGTTTTAGTGTTAAGCACATTTTTACATTCTACAAATAGACTGTTACAGCAGGCAATTAATAGGATACTTTAAAAAGGATCAATTAGAACTTAAAACTTTAAATTCGTAATTAAATAATCTACAAATGCATAGACTTTTGCCCTCATTGAGATGTAGCTCTCACTGCATTTATCAACAAGCGCATGATACCGGATAACCTCTTACCTAAAAAGTAAGAAAAGCTTGTCTTTAAAGTGAGGTCATTTTTCTAAAGAAAACCACTTGGTAATCTCATTGAAATGAAACTGTGAACTTAACATGCGTGATGTGTGAGCCAAGCACGGTGGCCCATACTTGTAATCCTAGCACTTTGGGGGCAGATCACTTGAGCTCAGGAGTTCAAAACCAGCCTGGCCAACATGGTGAAACCCCATATCTACTAAAAATACAAAAAAATTAGGCGGGCATGGTGGTGGGCACCTATAATCCCAGCTACTGGGGAGGCTGAGACAGGAGAATCGCTTGAACCCAGGAGGCAGAGGTTGCAGGGAGCCATATCGTGCCTCTGCTCTCCAGCCTGAGCCACAGAGGGAAACTCCATCTCAAAAAAAAAAAAAAAGAACATATGTACTTTGATTTTTAAAATTAAGAAATTTAAAAGGAGCTATGTTAGTTATAGATGTAAGAAAAAAGGTGACTGCTAATTTTATGTATTTCAATATCTCACTATTTTAATAGAACCAACATTTCATGGATTAGGGCTTTGCAAAACTGAAGCACGTACTACTTGCAGTCCATGACAAAACATAGCTAGGTCACAAATGGACAAATGGCAGATGAAAACCAGTTTGTCTGGCAAGGGTGAGTAGTCTATAAATCAAGACAGGTCACTTACTGCTAGTATTTCCATTTGCTAAGCAAGAAGGTGATCAGGTCACAAAAAATACAAAGGAAGAAAAAGACCAAGAATTAGTGTAAGAAATCATTTTAACTAAGGTCACAGATGTTCCAGGCAAACTGAAGAACATATATTTATACCCCCCAAAAAACTTTATGAAGTTATTTCCAGAATAAAAGCTTTCAGTCATTTACTGCAACAATTCAGGGTATTTTTAAACACTTTGTCAAAGAATAATTAAATGATATTTAGGCTATGACTTCTGTGTAAAAGCCACAATGGCTAAAACTGTACTATAGTGGTCTTGGGAAATGTGGCTATCCAGGTTTAAAAAAGAAAACAAAACCCAACTGTAATAAAACTTCCATTTGTAAACTAGAAAACTTATGATTAGAAAATAAGAAATTAATTACCATTACAACTAAAAAGAATTGGCTTATAATCATACATAATAAATACTTACCCATCACCCTCAAAAGATTATCTCTGGGGTGGCTCATTCCAGGCTTCCTATCCTATACTGTCTAATTAGGTCCTACTTTGCCATAATTGGTGCTGAACCACAGGGTGGAATATCAAAAGCAGATGTGTGTTCTAAATTGCATTCCTAATGTAGTTCAGTAAGTTTCAGAAACTTCACCTAACTAGGTTTGAATCAACATAATGTATGTAAAACATAGTGAAAAATCTAATTTATGGACTGTCTTAAAAACTAGATGAAAATATGTACAGCAACTTGGATCTGGTCTCATTAAGAGGAGAATGACTCTTAATTAAAACAGCAATTGTTATGCTGTAAATGTACCTTCTAAAAGTCATTCTTAAGCCTGCTTTTCTAAATAGTTTCCTGTGAAGGACCGTTTCCATAATGTTTATTCCTATCAATTTAGAAGGGATTTGCTAAGTAAGCAAAGGTGAACTTTAGCTCCATGCTGCTTACCATAAATTACGTGGAGAGTCATACAGTAAACATCAGTTGAGCACAATCCAAGGTCAAGCATATTACATATCTAAATTTCTGAGGGTTTAGTGCATACAGTTTATTTCATACGGAAATCAACAATTTGAATTTTAAATACCTCTCCCACTTCTATTAGCATAAATCAAGTAGAAGTGATTCTATAAGCATATATGCATAGGCTCCACTTTGGGATATAATGGAACATAAACTGCTGATAAAGTTTATGATCCATAATTATAGGAAATAACACAAATGTAATGAATTCTATAGCTCTGAATTACCAGCAATTACTTAAATATGCTAACAGTACGGGGTGTGTGTGTGTGTGTGTGTGTGTGTACATTTTAAATTAAGTATATTAAAATTTGCACATTCTCTTTCATTCATCTAACAAATATCTGACTGCTTATTATGTAAAAGACTATACTGGTACACAAGGAAAGATCAAGTTGCATAAAAAGGGTCTTCCACCCTCAAAAAAGGTGAATATGAATGGTGAGCTGACATATAAATGAAAGTGTTTAAAAGTTCAATTTCCACTTAGTAGATAACCTCAAGCTATGTTAACTGACTTGGTCTTGGAGATGGATACCGTTTTATTCAAAGTACAGGGGATATAAAAAAAATTACTTAATAGTTACATTTCTTGATGAAGCCATGCCGTTAAAACAGATGCAATTAAGCAATGGCAAAGGCAGAATTAGAGCCAAAGAATCTTCTGGTCTAGGGTTAATTCCTTACCTTCATTTCTTTACACAGATGACTTCACAGTTTCTTTTTTACATTAGTGCAGGATTTAGAGTCAGCCTGCCTAGGTTTGAATCTTGGTTTCACTATTTGCTAATTTTAGATAAATTAGCTTCTCTGAGCCTCAGTTTCCTCATCTTCAGAACCGGGATAATTAGAGAACTACTTGACTGAGTTAAGTTGCACTTCCATTAGAATAATTTGTAGGCCCTAACTTAGCCTCACTTAACCACAATGTATGTATTTATGTATGTGCACCTTTGTAAGAAAATATATTGCTATTTTCACTGAGCCTTATATTAGAGAAAAGCATAATTTATCCAATTCTAATTTTACCTTTGAAAAGGCTAGTTTGGATGCATTATAGCATATTATTCTTAGGTTTGCTTTCTTGACCAGACAATTTCTCTGGAACACTAACATGGGACAAGTTTTCCTTTTTAAGAGGCAGATGCAACTAAAAGCCTATCTATCTGGACTGTCCAGATATCCATCGAGCTTATCTATTGAATGTTATTAAGCTTCAGTCACAAGCTGGTTCATTTTTATTAAAGTGAATTTTTCATTACTAAACCAGTGTTTCATTGAGCTTTTACAAAGATTGTTCTTGATAACCAAAATGAAAAGTTTTAAAATATTCTTTGTTTCTAATCAAATAAGGACATTTGAACATATGCACTGTTTTACCTGATACAGAAATACAGCAAAAACAGGAATAAGAAACTTACTTGTCCATCTGTGCTTATCCTATACATGTCTTCTTTGGCACCAAATGTCCTCTTACAATCATCTAGCCACTAAAAATAAGTAACAGTAACATTTAATATGCACAATGAAATGGGTAATATAACAGCCTGTCCATACACAACACCAAACTTGAAGTTAACTTCAAGTTCTAGGACTGGTTGTAGACCTAGACTTTTACCTCCATTCCAGCCAAATCAGTTACATGGAACTAACAAAAGCAGGGATAGCATTAATATAACAAGATACACACACTTGTCACTGCTAAACTAACAAAAGCCAACGAGCAGTCTTCCATTCTAGGGATCTGTGATGTTCCATTTCAGTAAAGGATATTCTTCATTTTGCAGGTTTTATGAAAATCTTCACAACCTATGCCTGACCTTTGCGTAACGTAAGACGGAGAAATGAGAGATGTGCTTCCCCTCTGGTCAATTTAATAAAAGCAATTTAGAATTAAGCGGGTCTGTTTGCTTATGAGAAGCGTAATTCTCAGAAGACCAGTGTCAGTTTTCATTTGTGAACCAGCAATCAAGTTCCATTTTAAATCTTGTTTTTCTTTTTTTTTCTTTCTTTTTGGATAGTGATGAATGGCAAACATTTCCAAACAATACTGGATGTAGAAGCCAAATGTGGTTTTTCCTTCTCTGGTGATATTCCTAATGTTGATGTAAAAGTACAGGCTGGGTGTGGGGGCTCTTGCCTACAATCCCAGAGCTTTGGGAGGCTGAGTGGGGAGGACTACTTGAGGGCAGGCATTCAAGACCATCCTGGGCAACACAGGGAGACCCTGTCTCTAAAAAAAATAAATTTAAAAAAGAAATACTTCAAAAATAATTTAAAGCACATTTTCTTCAACAAAATATAAATAAAACAATAGTACTGTGGTGTAGTAGAAAAGAACGCTAGAGTCACAAAATTTCCAAGCTGAAGTAAAAGCTAAGTGCCTTCAAGGTAAGCTCCTACCTTTGGACAGATTGATAGTATCAGTTGGTTTGACTTCTTAGTTCTTTTTTATTATATTATTAAACATAATACAACTAATATATTTAAAAAATCATTAGGACTTTGAGAAAAACCACTAGCTGCATTAAGCAGCTACTCTGAAAATATTTTAGTATTCGACAGTTAACATTCTCTACTGTAGCTGATGCTCTACACACAAAGAATTAAAAGTAGACATTTCAGTTATTTCAAAAATGATGTCTTTGACCCTATTTTCCTTTTATTCCAGTCTTTCAGATTTCACTGGCCCTTAGGCTATTTGCTTGACAGCATCACTGAAGAAAAACATGTTAAGCTTTTCTGGTGCGATACGGCTGATGGCAGCCATTGTCAAAAGCTATCAGCGGATTTCTTTATATCAGCAAAATGCAGTTGACATCTACATGGAATCTGTGCATTCAAACAAAATGTTAGAATGTTTATATACTTAATTATCATCCCTTGTCCAGTTTGTCCAAGTATACTAATGATTTGAAAAGAATAATTTCAGTTGATTAATGGCTTATTTTTATACTGTGAATTATCATCCCTTGTCCAGTTTGTCCAAGTATACTAATGATTTGAAAAGAATAATTTCAGTTGATTAATGGCTTATTTTTATACTGTGTACCTAGTGATACAGCCTTTTGGGGGCACTATTCAACATAATCATTGATGATTTTTATTCTGTTAAAAGGTAAACCCCAACCATATACTCCTTTGGCTGTACACTGGCCTGAGGAATTCAGGTCCAAACCTTTCCAGTCAGTGCATACAAGACACAGTAAGTAGCTTATACACAGAACACCATCCCGTTCACATCTAATCAGTCTTCCTGTCATGGCATTTTCTTTATTCAAGGTTCAAATGAAGGTTAAAATTTAACTGGCGAGGTTCTACTTCTGAGTGTGATGGAGTAGCCTGTATAAGACCAATCCTGCAAGGACAGCTATGGAAGAATCCTATCAGCAAAAAAGTCAGAGTTAGAGAAAAGTACTGAGGTGAGCTCAACACTCGTCCCAGTGCTGACTCTAGGTATATTCATATTCACGTTCTGCACATAGAGGTTGAACAGAAAGCAGTGGCCTAGAGTTTATGCCCTACAGTTTCACTGCGCTGGGAAAATGGTTTTCAAAGATAGTGAGATATTGAGAGCCAATATCCTGGAGAAAAGAGAACTGCAGAGAAGTTACTCCAATAGTCTCTGTGCAGTTTCACCTTGGGACACTTGCTGTTCCTGCTTATCATGTGCAGGAGGAACAGTTAAGAAACCACAAAGCAGTCCCTGGGAGGCTGAGAAGGTCGGCAGAGACTGCTGGTCTCAGTGCTGGAGAGAGAAAAACCATTCAATTCACTTGTGAGCCTTGGCAGTCTTGAATAATAATAATAAAAAAATGTATAACTCAAAAACCAATAGGAAAATTAAATAGAAGGGCAAATAGTAAATATTTTAGGCTTTGCAAATCATATAGTCTTTGTTGTAACTATTTAACTTACAGTGCAAAAAATAGCCACAGACAATATGTAAATAAACCAGATAGCTGTTTTCTACTGTCTAATTTTACTTACAAAAATAGGCAGTGGACCAGATATAACTTGATGGCTGTAGTTTGCTGACCTGGATTCAAGAAGTTTGTATGCACTATTGTTTGAATTTCCATATAAATTTTAGGATCAGCAAAGATTCTGAGACTTTGAATGAGACTGCATTAAACCTACAAGATCATTTTAGGGGGAAAATGGCATCTCTACCATATTGAGTCTTCTAATTCATAAACATGGTAAATAGTCCTCCATTTATTTAGGTGGTCTTTCATTTTTCTCAGTAATATATGCAGTTTTCTGTATAGAGGTGTAGCATATCTTTAGATAGATTTATTTGTAGGTATTTGATATTTTCCTATTATAAATGGTATCTATTGCTTTAAAACCAACCAACCTAAAACTTAATGGCTTTAAATAACCAAAATGGGTGGGTCGCTGCTCCGTTCTTTGGGTCGGGTCGTTTGTGATACTCCACCGCAGCCATGGCAGAACCGCAGCCCGCATCCGGCGGCCTCACTGACGAGGCCGCCCTCAGTTGCTGCTCCGACGCGGACCCCAGTACCAAGGATTTCCTATTGCAGCAGACCATGCTACGAGTTAAGGATCCTAAGAAGTCACTGGATTTTTATACTAGAGTTCTTGGAATGACGCTAATCCAAAAATGTGATTTTCCTTCTATGAAGTTTTCACTCTATTTCTTGGCTTACGAGGATAAAAATGACATCCCTAAAGATAAAGATGAAAAAATAGCCTGGGCATTCTCCAGAAAAGCTACACTTGAGCTGACACACAATTGGGGCACTGAAGATGATGAGACCCAGAGTTACCACAATGGCAATTCAGACCCTCGAGGATTTGGTCACATTGGAATTGCTGTTCCTGATGTACACAGTGCTTGTAAAAGGTTTGAAGAACTGGGAGTCAAATTTGTGAAGAAACCTGATGATGGTAAAATGAAAGGCCTGGCATTTATTCAAGATCCTGATGGCTACTGGATTGAAATTTTGAATCCTAACAAAATGGCAACTATAATTTAGTGCTGTGAGAATTCTTCTTTGAGATTTCAGAAAAAAGGAAACAATGTGATTCAAGATATTTACATAACAGAAGGCAGAAGCATCTAGAACTGATGGATCACTGTCCCAATTCAAATTATTCTTCAGTCCATTTCCCCTTCCTATTTCAGCTGTTCTTTTCACCTAACTGTTCATCGTTCTGGTTTTCAAGTAGTGCTTTATCTTATGTCCTTGAATATAGTTGTATAACTTTACTTTTTAGGTAGTAATTAGAACAGTTCCCTTCAGAGGCTGCATTTATCTTCTTATGCCTCCTAAATATTACTTCTCTTCAAGTCTGCCTTTGAATTATCATTTTCAAAAAAAAAAAAAAAATAACCAAAATGAATCTATATACTGGCTGGGAGTTTCTTTTGGCCTTGCCTCAGGTCACTCATGAGTTTATAGTCATTTGATGGCTTGACTGGGGAAGCAGGCGGTTGAAGATCCAAACTGGCTTCACTCATATGTCCTGCACACTGGCTGTCAACTGGAATGCCTCTGTTCTCTCCTACATGGCCTTCTCATCTTCCAGTAGGCTAGAGGTCAAACAGTTTCCCAGAATTTATCCCAGTTTTACTCTGACTACTATGATGGCAAAAGCAGACACCACAAAAACCACTTTAGGACTAGTTTTGGAAGTTACACAGCATTGCTTCTAAACTTGATTGGTTAGAACAAATCACAAGGCCATCCCAGATTTAAGAGATGGTGAAATGGACTCTCTTGATGGGAAGAATAGCAAAGTCATGTTGCAAAGGGGTGTGGCCACAGAGAAGCATCATTCATTGGGACCAGTATTGTAACAATCTACCTTTGCTTCCAGTAGGCAATGATTTCTGAAGACACAAAAACCATAACCATGATGGAAAAGACTGATAACCTGGACTTATTAAAATTAAAAACTTGTGTGCATCAAAAAATGCTACTAAGCAAAAATGCTAGCCACAGAGAAGGAATTTATCTTTGCAATACATATATCCAAAAAAGGGCTTGCATTTAAAATAAAGAGCCCCTACAAATCAGAAAAACCCAATCCATTTACAAAAATGAGCAACATACTTGAAGCCACAATTCACAAAATACCTAAATGAGACCCATAAGAAAAGGTTCTCAAATATTAGTCATCAGGGAAATGCAAAATAGTATCATGAAATACCACCCCACACTTCATTTTTCACAGGTCTATACATGTCAGATATTTACTACTTATTAATGAAAGACCCATCTCCTAGAAAAATAATTCCCCATTGTATGCAGTTTGTATGAAAGAGGTAAGCTATCTTTTGTTCTTTTGCCCCTCTCAATTGAAAACATTCTGGATTTACTCTTAGGGAAGGAACAGAGCTACTCTGTTTTCAGTGCCAGCTTGGACTTGAGGAAGCCTTTCTTTGGAGGTGCTATCTAATTTACTACATGCATTTTTTCTCCCATTGGTTGCACACGTACATGTACACATCATGGGAAAAAGACCACAGCTTTGTCAGAGGTTCAGGATTTCCTAGACCACAATTCTCTAATGCACTAAGAAATATAGCTTTGATTTTCCCACTTGGAATGCTGACAGCAGTGATATAGTCTCCACAAGAGAAGGTTTTTTACAAAGCTATGGTTTTCCATTGTGCTGTTAGAGGGCCGACTTTTAAAAGCCAAAGGTAGGAATTTGCTGGACAGAGAGCTCAAAGAGCCTGCTGCTCTCTGGAAAACCCTGAGGCAAGTGCTAAGAGGTCTTCTTTTCTGTCTGGGCTATTCTGCTGCCAGGATTACCCTTCCAGTGTCAAGAGCAAACCACTTTTCGCATATGGTAAAAAGAGACTGACCTGCTCAGCTGCTTCTCTTTTGGAATTGTATGTATCCAGGTGTTCTTGCAACTCCAAAACCCCAAACTTGAGTGTTTCCAGCAAACCACATGACATTAGCTGTCAAATCAGAAATATTGATCCAGGTTACCATTTCTGATCAAAATCATAAGACCCACAAAGTCATGAGACTTTTCAGTCACGGAGTACCTGTTAGTTGGATTTTGGACATTCTCTTAACTCTACTCTGTCCCATACTAAGAGCTGACTTCTCACTGAAACAGCGTAGGAGTGCAGCGGGACTTGGGAAATGTCAGGAAGGACCAAGTGTTTTCAAAGGCTGGCTAAGACGAGAAATGCCATGCCAGACCAGTACATACATCAAAGGTTTCAACCCTGAAGCTTGTTAAACCTTAGTTCTTTAAATATCTTAATACATAATCTAGAAGTGTGCTTGGAAGTAAATCAGGAAATGACCACAGATGACTGGGTACTTCACGGGGGAGGTTTAGCCATCTCCTACCCATTTTTATTTAAGAATAAAAAAATTATCCATCTCTAGATCATGGCTTTTTACCTCTCCCATTTAGGACTCTATGGAGGGTAAGGGCAGGAAGGGGTCAGAATCGGAAATAGTCACAAGTTGCTGCATCTAATATACTAGAATTATAGTTTGCCAAATATATTCATGTTGAAAATATGAACCTTCACACTATAAAATTCAGAATTACTTAGAAAAAAAGACTTACTAAATAATGCCACTCAAATGTAGTCTTTATAATAAATCTGCATGTAAAAACTTACTGTTTCAGCATCCACAAAGACTGTTGGGCATTCTGAACACATCATCATCACGTCCAAGGAGCTTTTAAATTTGGTACCAATGCGTTGCAGACTCTCACCAAGAAAGCTGACTGCCTCATTAGTTATTTCTCCAAACTTTCTTTGTATTGTCTATGGGGAAAAGCAGAAGAGTTTAGTGTTTCCTAAGAAAGACTTTTTCACCTTTAAGTAAAGAAGCATAATAGGGTAGACTTTTAAAATTATAATGGTATATAGAATTTTAACCATTGATCTGTAAATCCATATTTTTAGGTATTAAGAAACAATTTCTAAAAAGAAAGGTTTACAAAATAGTATTACTGAAAAAATGAATGATATATGCCATTTATCTCCCTATTCTCAAGATTTTTTTCATCAAGGGGCAGACAGATGGATGCATGCTATACATCCTTAGCAATAGAAGTCCTCACCTGTCTGAGGAAGTTGGTCATCTAAAGTTATTATCCGAAAGAAACGTTCAGTAAATGTAGTTTACAGGCTGCCATCTGGCTTAACTTTAGGTAAAGTCATAGAAATGCATTAAGAGTAACATCTTCTCAGGGTTCAAGAATATTCATTTCCATGAAACAATCTGACACTGCCTGACTCATAGTAAGTCAATCAATTAGACTGTATTATCAGTAGTATAATTATTATATCAATGGTTAAAGTATACTTATATATGTGTTCACTGTTAGGTGGCATTATGATTGATTAAAATAAAAAACATGATCAACAGTTTCAGCCATCAAGAAACTTACAATATCACTGGAAAGAAAAGACTGAGTAGAAAACCAAGTAGTGACGCGGTAAGTACAGAGTAAGCGCTCCTGTTAACGAACGCTGAAGAACTTCCATGAGAGTGAGCTTGGAAACTGAAGTGGTTGGGAAAGCTTCGGTGAGAAAATGTATTTAGCCGAGTCTTCCAAGATGGGCAAATTTGGGAGGAGAAAAGGGAGGAAAACTGCTAGATAGTTCAGAGGATAATGACTTAAATGGTGGCATTTTTCTGTGCCTTAATTTCCCTCTCTACTGAATGCTGAAAATAGTATCTACATTCCATAGTGGTAGAGGTATGAGAACACTTACCAAAAGGCCATTTAGCATAGTGCCTAGCATGTAGTGGGTACTCAATAAATTTTAGCTTATATTGTTATCATTATTGTGGGGGGAAGCAATCTTAACAGCTAAAAATTTTAAGGCCCTCACAGAGTCATAAAAGTGTCAATTACGGCCGGGCGCGGTGGCTCACGCCTATAATCCCAGCACTTTGGGAGGCTGAGGCGGGTGGATCACGAGGTCAAGAGATCGAGACCATCCTGGTCAACATGGTGAAACCCCGTCTCTACTAAAAATATAAAAAAAACAAAGCTGGGCATGGTGGCACATGCCTGTAGTCCCAGCTACTTGAGAGGCTGAGGCAGGAGAATTACTTGAACCCAGGAGGTGGAGGTTGCGGTGAGCCGAGATTGCGCCATTGCACTCCAGCCTGGGTAACAAAAGCAAAGCTCCGTCTCAAAAAAAAAAAAAAGTGTCAATTACTTTAAGCCTTTATTATAAACTGATTTTTTATATATTGACTATAAGCTCCTTAAAGGCAGAGCTTAGGCCCTTATTTCTTTGGTATCCTGATGGTGCCTAAGCATACTGCAGAAAACATATCAGATGTTTTGAAGTTTTATTCTAATTGCCTTAAGGGAGAGATCTGTACTGGTCATTGTGTAATGTACCAGCAGTACCACAATGTCACAGTGTCAATGTAAGTAATACCACTAGCTTAGAAAAAAAAATTTGTCAAAGAAAATTGGTAGGAATATTAAAATTGGAGATGCTGATTTTAGAAGAAAAACTATAACTTGATTAGGTAACTATAATATGAATTCAGAAACCCTGAAGCTCACTGACCTGAAACAGCCGAGAAAACACATGAAAAGTGAACACTGCACAGGACCCGTCGGTGTCAGACAGCATCTGATTGACGTGGCAGCGCCAGGCTTCCTCTTCATTATCATATGGCACAGGCTGAAAAGCGGCTATGATGGCAGAAAGAAAGGGTGACGGCAGAGGTGACATCTGTACTTCTGGAAAACCATCTTGCTCTTCTTCATCTTGACTGTTAACACAGATATCACAGATATAATACTATCTCAGAAGAAAAGAATAGGCTCAATCACATAAGATAGCTTAAGTCATTTGACAGGTTATCTTCATATATACACATTGATTTAGAAAATGTACAATAACCTAAATTTTGTAAGAAAGTGTAAATAAGTGAATTCCTGTTCTTTCTAGTTAGCATTTTTAGAATTAAAACTCTAATTTCAAGCAACTATCTTAACCCAAGTCCTATAATATGTCACCACTATAGATTAATTTCAGTAACTTCTATAAATACTGATTAGAATGCTTTCATTTTAAATGGTCAGTTTTGGAGGCTTATTTGAACAGCCTCACATTGGTGATAATATTTCTAAAGTTTTGATCCTGGTCTTTTGTTTTAAGGGCTATGTTAGGTGCCTTATATGGATAATTTGATTCAGTCTTCACAACTATATGAGGATTAGGTTCTATTATTATTTTTATTTTAAAGATGAAACAAAAAGCTCAATGAGGTTAAATAATGTGTCTACGTTACTGGGTAAGAAATGACAGAGCCAGAATTTGAACCTGTGACTACAGGTCCAAATGCTGTTAGCCAGGAAACATACAGCTAGCTCAGCTATTTCATGAGCACACATTATGTTCCTAGCAATATGGCCGATAACAGATTTGACTCCAAAGAAATGTAAGACCTGCCCATTCATTTCCTTCAAATAATTTATAACCTATAATCCCAAAAGTCAGATTATACAAATAAAAATGCAATGGAAAAAGATGAAGATGTATTTAGGTAGGACATTGTACAACTCTCAGCCAAAAGATGAAGTATTTGAGTCTGACACGCCATAAAAAAGAAATGTGTTATTCAAGGTCTTAAAATTGCATATTTCACATTACAAGCTAGTTCTATAAGGCTTTACAGAAATTTTGGAGCAATGCATGTGGAAGAGAGGGACCCAAGTAAAGATTGGAGAAAACAATCAAAATTAAGCAGACATCTTAAATGAAAACAAATGAAATCTCGAAAAGGTTATTTTTAAAACTGTCACTGTGGTGACTGATTTTAACACATATACTATAAGCTAGAGTAGATAACCTGTACTCTTACTAGGAATGCTCCACTCTATTCAGCTGCAGTACTTGGCCAAAGTCGAGTGTTTGGCCTTTTAGAAAGCCAAGTAGTTGAATAGTATCGTTTCTGGCATCCCTGAATTTGTGCATGATTAATGATTCAGTGGTTGCATGGGCTACTGCCATATTCAAATCAGTAATATGAAAAAGGTTTATCACTGAGATTTAATATCTGATTATATATTTTCAAATGTAGATAGGTATTCTAGATACACTGATAGTAAAAAAAAATATCTGATGTGTTATATATGTTAAAACTCTATTATCACATGAAGTATAAAGGTATAATTTTTATTTTAAGTAAAATTCTGAGAGATTTAAAAATATAATCTTTTCTTCCATGAGCAAGACTAACCTATAATGTTTGAGGATGTACACTTGGGTGATATAAAGAAATGTGAGGAAGTAATTACTATAAAGTCAAGGTCATGGTTGGTGAGTTGAAATTGGATGAGGCTTCTAGGGTGGCTGGCAAAGTTCTTTCTTGAAATGGGTGGTTGTTACAAAGGTGTGTGCCTTATAAGAACCAGCTAAGCTATACCTTGGTGTTATACAGTTTTATGTAGCTATATTTTATTTTACTTTAATAAAAATAAAGTCCTGAGCTAAAAAAAAAAAAATTGTGAAATACTTGATTATTAAATATTAATTGTATATAAAAACAGTTACCCAGAAGCTCCAAATTGTTGAATGGGGAAATAGATACACTCACAGAGTATATGAAGTTAGATGATACCTTTATAAAAAAAAAACAGTAATATTGAACTGCAAATATTTATGAAATTTAAATAGTGGATATTCTATCATAATTCTAACTGTTACAGAATTATTTGGTATATGAGTTTTAACAGCCACCAAAATTTCCTTTAAAAACTATATATAATAATTAATTATTCAAGTTAGCCCATGAGTGAAGAAAAAGTTCCATTTGAGAATTCTTCATACTTTGTGGTAATAAATTTTCAATGTATGGAGCATAAACATTTAAAAGGAGAAACCTAGCATCTAAGAAATAATTATTTCTGCCTATTACAGATATAAAACTTTAAAAATATGACCATTGATCATGAAACTGTAAAAATTTTTTGGATGTATTTCAGATTTATATTTTGGTATCATGGAAGTTCATTCCAATATGGAGTTTAACATTTGGCATCTGCCAAAATAGATATTTGGTGTGCTCCTAATTGTGGAATACCGATTATGATGCTTTGAAAATGGCCTACTTGTTTTTCTTTATGGGAATGTCCATAATCGAAGAAATATCCCATTAGAGTAAGGCATTTTATCTTTAAAAATGAAGATAGTATGATTCTAGACTAAAACACACAAAGTATGATTACAGACTGAAACACACAAAGAAATGAAACTAAGTAAACTGGAATTAGAGGGGCACTCTTTGGAAGGAATAGGGGAAGAGTATCACCTCACTATGGTGTTTGTGATACTGTATTCTCACCTAGACAGTCCAGAGAAATCTGCTTCTTCT